CCGTGTGAGTCTACGGGTCTCTCTGTGATGATATTTGTCCGTGTGAGTCTACGGGTCTCTCTGTGATGATATTTGTCCGTGTGAGTCTACGGGTCTCTCTGTGATGATATTTGTCCGTGTGAGTCTACGGGTCTCTCTGTGATGATATTTGTCCGTGTGAGTCTACGGGTCTCTCTGTGATGATATTTGTCCGTGTGAGTCTACGGGTTCTCTCTGTGATGATATTTGTCTGTGTGAGTCTACGGGTCTCTCTGTGATGATATTTGTCCATGTGAGTCTACGGGTTCTCTCCGTGATGACATTTGTCCTTGTGAGTCTTCGTGTCTCTATCATCTTCGTCGTCGTTTGAAAGAGGTGCGTGTAGGGGAGATTAACGAGCCAGAGGATCGTGGAGTCAGGAGTAATCGGAGTGCTGCATCACCGCTGTGACGATGCCTCCTCCTCCTCCTCTCCTCCTCCTCCGTCTTTGTGAATCTGCCATCGATTCCACGCTCCGCTCTCCACGCTTCTGCTCTGGGCTGTGACCGCAGTCACCGCTTTTTGCGTCGTCGTCGTCGATTGTAACCGCATCTGCCAGGTTTTGCACTCGAGCCAAATGAACTGGACAAGGTTGCGGCGTTGGTGGCGACGGTGGTGCTGGTGGGGGGGGGGGTGGTGGTGGTGGGCGGGTTGAGTGGCGGCGGTGGTGGGGGTGGGGTGGCGGATTTGGAGGCAGGGCGGTGATCAAAGGCTGGCTACGCTTGGGACAATTTCTGGGCTGATGACCTCTCGGTCATCTTCACTCTCTCGCTCTCTCTCTCTCTGACTCTCTCCCCGCGGGATTAATTGCGAACGCTCTCCCCTCTCGAGCTCCGGACGTTGGGGGGTGGGGGGGGTCCTCCGCTGCTTTGTCTTTGACTCCCGCGCTGCCACGCGCCGATTGAGGGCTTCGCGGCCGCGATCAAAGACGCCGCGCGACTCGCAATTTGCGAGCGACGGACGGGAGACCGCGGGATACGATCCACCCCACACCCCCACCCTCTCTCTCTTCCTCCACCCCCCACCCACACACTCTCTCTCTTCCTCCACCTCCTCATCCCACCCCCACTCTCTCTTCCTCCACCCCCTCATCCCACTCTCTCTCTCTCTTCCTCCACCCCCTCTCTGTCTTCCTCCACCTCCTCATCCCACTCACTCTCTCTCTCTCTCTTCCTCTACCTCCTCATCCCACCCATCCCACTCTCTCTCTCTCTCTTCCTCCACCCCCCACCCACCCACACACTCTCTCTCTTCCTCCACCTCCTCATCCTACTCTCTCTCTTCCTCCACCCCGTCATCCCACCCCCACTCTCTCTCTCTCTTCCTCCACCCCTTCATCCCACCCACACTCTCTCTCTCTTCCTCCACCCCGTCATCCCACCCCCACTCTCTCTCTCTCTTCCTCCACCCCGTCATCCCACCCCCACTCTCTCTCTCTCTTCCTCCACCTCCTCATCCCACCCCCACTCTCTCTCTTCCTCCACCCCTTCATCCCACCCACACTCTCTCTCTCCGCTGGGTTCCTCCACGTTTAAAAACAAATCTGTTTCCGACTTGATTCGAAGCTTTCGTGACTGCAGGAATTACTCTTTGTTTTTTTTCGGTAAAGTCACGTATAAATAAGAAATAATAAAATAACATAATAGCGTACGCCGTTTCGGTTGCAACACAAGCAGCCATCATCAGGTACAGAAGAGCTAAATTTACGAGAGAGAGGGGAAACACATAACCCCAGATGTATATACAGACACCCAAGTGTTGTATCTGTGTTAGTTCTCCCTACTTGGGTGTCTGTATATACATCTGGGGATATGTGATTCCTCTCTCTCTCGTAAATGTAGCTCTTCTGTACCTGATGATGGCTGCTTGTGTTGCAACCGAAACGTCGTACGCTATTATGTTATTTTATTATTTCTTATTTATACGTGACTTTACGGGAAGAAAACCCAAAGAGTAAAATCTGTTTCCGTCACCGCGCAACTTTGGCGAATGTGCCGAAGCCGTTTCAATCCCACGCCTGCCGCTCCCCCTCCTCTCCTCCCCACCACCGCCACCACCGCCGCCGCCGCCGCCGCCAGATGACTCGAGATGTCTTGTTTATTAATTTATTTGCCGGGTTTTATACCCCCGGATTCCAGCTGCTTCTCGGTGATTACGTTTTGGCTGGCGCAGGCGACGATGCGAGTAAGCGGGATGACGTGCGGGCCGGGCCTTGTTCGGCCCACGTTGATGGAAGCTGCCGTCGGAGTCGATGATTATTTCCTTGGCCCGCTCTACCGAGTCCGAACGGTGTCATCAACCCTCCCGTGCACGTCCTCTAATCCACGTGCGCCTCTTTCAGTCTCTCGGTGTGATTCCGGGCGTGTGGCTGCCACGTGCACCGGTGGTGTTATTTTTGTTGGTTTCCACCCCGCTCTTCGGCGGTACCCGCGTAACCACGACGACGACGGTACCCGCGTAACCACGACGACGCCGGTACTCGCGTAACCACGACGACGCCAGTACCCGCGTAACCACGACGACGGCGGTACCCGCGTAACCACGACGACGACGGTACCCGCGTAACCACGACGACGCCGGTGCCCGCGTCGAGTCCAGAGACCAGCCGCCGAACCGACCGCGAGATTTCGCGCTCTCGCGCCGCCCGCCAGGGTCGGCCGGTCGGTCACAGAGAGGGGGGTGGGGGGAGGGGAGCGGGAGGGTGGCGCTGGCCGTCGGTCGGGGGGGGGGGGGGGGGGATGGTGGTCGGCTGGCGAGACCGGGGTCACCGGCGAGGGGTCGTGGTTCCCGTGTGCACTCCGCTGCCTTAATGGGCCGCCTGGCCACCCGACGCCCCCCGCCACCACCCCCCACACCGCCACCCGGCCGCAGGATCCGCCGTTGGCTGCGTGGAGCTAATTGTCCGTATTGATTGGCCATCGTCTCACGAGAAGGATTCTTGCTGAAGCTGCTGCCGGCCGCCACGGCCGCTTTGTAACGTTCGCCAGCAGCAGCAACAGTATCAGCAGTAGCAACAGCAGTAGCAGCAGCAGTAGCAGCAGTAGTAGCAGCAGTAGTAGCAGCAGTAGTAGCAGTAGTAGCAGCAGCAGTAGTAGCAGCAGCAGTAGTAGCAGTAGCAGCAGTAGTAGTAGCAGTAGCAGCAGTAGTAATAGCAGCAGTAGTAGCAATAGCAGCAGTAGTAGCAGTAGCAGCAGTAGTAGCAGTAGCAGCAGCAGTAGTAGTAGTAGCAGCAGTAGCAGCAGTAGCAGCAGCAGTAGTAGTAGCAGCAGTAGCAGCAGCAGTAGTAGTAGCAGCAGTAGTAGCAGTAGTAGCAGTAGTAGTAGCAGCAGTAGTAGTAGCTGCAGTAGCAGCAGCAGTAGTAGTAGCGGCGGTGGCAGCGGTAGCAGCAGCAGACTCGCAATTCAGAGGTCACCGGTTTCGATTCCATCTCCCGGCGCGTGGCAGAGGCGGTCGCGAGTTTTCCCTCCCGGTCGCCTCCCCCCGGGGGCCGCCGCCGTCCACCCATCCAGCAGCGGATAAACGGGCACGCGGCGGTCGGTTGATGGGCAGGTTGTGCTGGCGCTGGTGGTGTTAAGGTGTGGCTACTCGCTCCGCACCTCTTTGCGGATGCCCCTCTCGGCGGGGGGGGGGGGGGGGGGTGTTGGGGGGCCTCCAGGGTTTTTGTTTTTGGCTGCTCCTTTGCAAATTTGGCGATTTCTTTCCGGCGTTGATGCTTCCGTTGCCTCGTACCCACCGGATCTCCCCCCCCGCCCCCGTCTCCCTCCGCTCGCCCCCCGCCCCTACCAACCTCCGCCGCGAACAAGCCAAAGGACACCATTTGGCGCTTCACGCGAAGTCTCCTTTTTTTTCTTTTTCGGAAACGGATTTCGATTCCGATGAGCGAAATTCAAAGCGTTTTATCGCGCGGCCTAATACGTGCGCGTGGGAATAATGCGAAGGAAAATAATAATTAATCATCGCCCGCTCCCCAGCATCGTTGTTGCTTTTTTTTTCCATTTTTTTTTTTCCCCGAGGGCCCTTAACGTCGGGCCTGTTCCAGGTATCGATCACCGGCGCGTGATTAGGTTCGGAATTTACTTATGAGCAGGTCCCTGATTTACGACGTCGACAATGCGGCCGGGCATGTTTATCCGCTCGGCTATCAAAACGCCGCCCGCAACGTTGTCGGGAGGCGACTTGCGCGGCGGCGGCGATCGATGGTGCGAGAGGAGGAGAAAGGAGAAGTTATCCCTGCATCGACGCCGACCCGCTGTTATTCCGTGCAACAGACGCAGCTCCTGAAATAGTTTGAGGGCCCTCCCGAGGCGTTCCGGCACCGGCGGCGCGGCTTCGCCTCGGCCCGGATCGATGAGTGTAGCACGTCGTCGTCGTCGTCGTTGTTGTAGTCGTCATCGTCGACGTCATTGTATTAGTCGGCCAATTTCGTCGTCATTGTAGTCATCCTCTTCGTCGCCATCTTCATCGGCGTCGCCCGGGCGGCGATCGCTCTCGGTCAGAACGTCGAGGCTTTTGGGAGACATCCGGTGTCAATTCCCAGAAGGCCCGGAACAATTGAGGCCGAGGGCCAGCGTCGAGGCCAGGGTCAAGGGTCGATTCGCTCGAAATGCGTGGCGTCTCTCTCCTTCGGGTTTGTGCTTCGAATGTTTTGGGCCTGGCGAAGCTTCGTTGCAAGAAATGTTCTTCGGCGCACTGGGGTGAGCTTTGGTTTGGCCGTGTCATGGTGGTGGAGTGGCCTGACATGGCACAAATCTACGGCCAGATCATTTATATGGTGGCATATCGCAAACAGTCAGCTATGAATCCAGCATTTGCTTGCCGTGTCGTCTCACAGCTGTGTCGTTACAGCTATGCTGAATGACCTGGGGGGGGCGGGGCGGACGCTCCGTCGGCAATGATGGCGCTGATGAAACTTCACCTCCATTTCCTCGCGTGCAACCGCCGTCGAGCTGACCCGCCTCCCTTTCTCTCTCCTTCTCGTGCAGGATTCTCACCGGCGCGGAGAAATGAGACGTTCGGGGGCAGCCGAGTGCCATGGAAGATCACGTGTCGCAGGCCAGCTCCGCCGGGAAGAAGCGGAGTGACGTCGACACAGCCTCTCCGCCGCCGCCGCCGCCGCCGCCACCCCGAGACGATGACTCTCCGGCGAGCGCCGAGCTGCTGAGAGATTCGCGGTCTCCGGCCGTGGCCGGCGTCCCGGGCCCTGGGCCCTCCCTCGCCGTCCCCTCCCCGGCCTGGCCTCCCTCTGCCTCCTCTCCCACCGCGGCCGCCTCCTCCTCATCCTCCGCCGCCGCCGCCGCCGCTGTGGTCCCGCCGCGTCCGGCCTCCGCCGCCTCCTCTGCCAAAGATATTTGCTGCAACCAATGCGCGTCGCCGCTCCAGAGTTTACAGACTTACATGGAGCACCGCTGCGCCACCGCCGCGGAGGGCGCGGCGCCGGCGCCGCCGCCGCCGCCGCATGCCGCCGCCATCATCGCCGCCGCCGCCGCCGCCGGTGAAGCCGCCGACGTGGAGAGCATCCCGGGCGAGATCGTGTACCGGGCCGACGGCTCCGCTTACATCGTCAAGAGCGCCGAGAGCTTGTCCGCGTTCACCGACGACGGGCGCGGCGGCGGCGGCGGCGGCGGCTGTAGCCCCACGCTGGCGCACGCTCTGTCCTTCGGCGTCAAACCCGGGGCGATCAGCACCTTCCACATCCAGGCGTTCCCCAACTCCTCGCTCGCGGCCGCCGCCGGAGCCGCACTGCGAAGCTTTCGGGTCTTCGACGTCCGGGGCGAAGGGGGCGGCCGCGGCGGCGGCGGCGCGGCGGCGGCGGCGCCGGAAGGCATAAAGAGCGAGGATGAGAGCGCGGAGGGGCCCGCGGACGACGGGCGTCCGAACGACGGCGACGACGGCGAGGCCGGCGGGGCCGGCGACGTCGACGGCGCGCTGTTCGGGGGCAGGAAGCCCATCCTGATGTGCTTCCTGTGCAAGCTGTCGTTCGGCTGCGCCCGCACGTTCGCGGCGCACGCCACTCGCGACCACCGCCTCTCGCTGCTCGCCGAGGAGTGGAGGCTGCTGGGACGGAGCGGCGCCTCCGCCATCGTGCAGGGCGTCGGCCGCGACCGCAGGGAGCCGCTCGTCAGCTTCCTGGAGCCGAGCGGCGCGCCCGGCGCCCAGCGGCAAGGGCGCCAGCGGCAGCGGCTCGTGAGCGCGGACGCCTCGGTGAAACCAAATTTTTACGGCGTTTTTAGCGGCATTAGAGTAGATGGCGGCGCCGAGGCGCTGCGGGCCGGGCCAAAGATTAAGGGGCTGCAGTCGACTGCTTCTCCCGTGAACCCTTGGGGTCAGAGCGCCCCGTTGAACCTTGGGGGTTTACCCAGTGCTTTGCTGAAATCCCCAAATACCTCAACGTACCCCGGCCGGCCCAGCGCCGGCTCGGGGCAGCTTGCCAAATGCAGCGGCGACGTCCGGGACGTCCACGGCGTGCGAATCAAGTCCGAGCCCGCGGACTTGGAGGACGAGAGGTCCGACGACGAACTCTATACCAATGAATTTGACGACGACGACGACGACGACGCGGAGATGATGACGATGGCGACGGCGACGGCGGAGGAGATGGAGGAGGAGATGGAGGTGGGCGGATTCGGAGGCTCTCAGGTCGGTGTTGGCGACGGCGCTTGCAGAAGAAACGAACTCTCCAGTCTTACAAACCAAAGCATTTCTCAGCTTTCCTTTCTGCCTCATTTGCTCAACCCCTCCCCAACGGAGGCGCCCTGCAGTTCCTTCCAAACGCTGCCCGACGGCGACGCGGCCCTCGGCGCCAGGGAGCCGGCGCCGGCGTTCGCGGCGACCGTCGAATCCGTCGCCGCCGGAATGCCGCGGCCGTCGGACGCCGACGCCAAGCGCGAAGTCGCGCTGCCGAGGCTCCCGCTAGGGCAGCAGCAGCAGCAGCAGCCGAACGCCGGCGCGGCGTCGGCCAGGGACGGCCGCGGCGGCAACGGCGGGACGCCGGTGAGCGACGGCGGCTCGCCGCGGCGCGAGGTGGCGGTGAGCCCGTCGGCGCTGTCGTTCGGCGGCCACGTCATGCTGCTGCAGTCGCGCAACTCGTGCAAGACGCTCAAGTGCCCCAAGTGCAACTGGCACTACAAGTACCAGCAGACGCTGGACGCCCACATGAAGGAGAAGCACCCCGAGTCGGGCAGCGCCTGCGACTTCTGCACGTCGGGGCAGCAGCACCCGCGGCTGGCGCGCGGCGAGAGCTACACGTGCGGCTACAAGCCTTTCCGCTGCGACGTCTGCAACTACTCCACCACCACCAAGGGCAACCTGAGCATCCACATGCAGTCCGACAAGCACCTCAACAACGTGCAGTGCCTGCAGAACGGAGGCGGCGGGGGCGGCGGCGGTGGCGGCGGAGGCGGCGGAGGCGGCGGGGCGGGCGCCATCGCGGACGCCGTCGCCGCGTACGGGCAGCACCACCTCCCCGCGAGCCTGGGCGGCGTGAGCGGCGTCGCGGCGGCCGCGGCGGCCGCGGCGGCGGTGGCGGCGGCGGCCGCGGCAGCCGCGGCCACCGCGGCCGCCGCGTCGCCGCAGAAAGCGAGGCCCCAGCACCTGCAGCAGCACCACCAGCAGCAGCAGCAGAGTCAACAGCAGAACCAGCAGCAGAAAAAGCCGATGTGGCGCTGCGACGTGTGCGACTACGAGACGAACGTGGCGCGCAACCTGCGCATCCACATGACGAGCGAGAAGCACGCACACAACATGCTGCTCCTGCAGCAGCAGCAGCAGCAGCAGGGTGGCGCCAAGCAGCGGGTGGGGCCGCACCACCATCACCACCACCATCACCACCACCACCAGCAGCAGCACCACCACCTGCAGCAGCAGCTGCAGCAGCAGCAGCAGCACCTGCACCACCTCGAGATGCCCGGCGTGATTTCCGGCGTCGTGCCGGGAGAGGCGGAGATCTATCAGTACTACCTGGCGGCCGCGATGCAGGCGGCCGCGGCGGCGGCCGCGGGCGCGGGGATGAAGCTGGAGGGCCTGGCTGGGGCCCACCAGCACCAGCTGCAGCTCGAGCAGCCGCCGGCGCCCGCGCCGCCCGTGGCGCTCGGTGAGTCTTTGTCGCTTTTTGCTCTCCCTCCCCTTCTTTCTCCTTCCCCCCTCCCACTGGCACGGCACCGGCGGAGCGGCGCCGAGGCTGCGCCGGGCCGGTCGGGCGCGGCTCGGGAGGGGCCGCTGCGGGAGCCGTGGACGTCGCGTGTCACTGGCCCTGCTGGGCCCCCTCCACCGAAGCCGGATTCAAACACGGTCAGAAGCAGATGCCTTCCTGGAGACCGCGCGGCCCCCGTAAATCAGGGAGCGCTCGCGACAGCGTTTGGCGAGGTGCGACGCGCCACCACCGATACCAACGCCCGCCGTTCGCCGCTAAGCGACGGCGACGTCCCTCAGCGGCGTCTGCGCCAGGCCAGGTGTCACGCCGAGGCTACCGAGTGAAGTGCTGAAGGCTCGCTGACAGGAGGAGGTCTCGGGACAGACCCCGGTAGAGGTCGGCACTACCTGCCACATGGCGGCACGAATACCCGAGGGGTCGCCGCTTTACCGCGCCACGGTAAAGCGCACCGCCCACGCGCGCGGCCCATGAAAGTAGTCCGTCGTTGAGGTGCGGGGGGCGCGCGGTGTTAGAGGCTTTGGAGGAAGAGAGAGGGGCCTCTGGCATCCTTACAAAGCCCCTGCCCCGTTGGGCAACATGCTGTTGGCATGGGCCAGCGTTGCCTCTCGCTCTTGCAGGGCAAGCGGCAGCAGCTGCGTTGGAGTATAAATGTAGTAAGTTGATCAATAAACCCTCCACCCACCCACCCCGCTGGCCAGCACGGCACGAGACGGAGACGATTTCGCTCCGAGTATAAACCCTGGCGTGATCCGACGCTTGAAGTTGACTGGCACCGCAAAATTGAAACACGTCTGGACCGCGATTACGATTGGACTTTTTCGGGTCAAAATGAAATCGTCCAAATGTCATATGCATATACACGCGGCACGTATTTGGTTAAAATCAAACGGTGGCAGGGTGTAGTGGTGAAGGGGAGCGAAAGGTTTAAAGAACGTCAGGGCCCATTGTAAGCCCGACGTTATTTTTGATTGGTGGTACCCTGACATCCAAATCATCCCTCACCCCCAACCACCACCCTGCCCCCCAACCACGAGTGAGTGAAGCGTCACGATTCCCTCCCCCCCTCCTCCCTCCCTCCCCCTCCCTCCCCGCCTCCCTCCCCCTCCCTCCCCCCTCCCTCCCCCCTCCCTCCCCCTCCCTCCCCCTCCCCCCCTCCCTCCCTCCCCCTCCCTCCCTCCCCCTCCCTCCCCCCTCCTTCCCCCCTCCCTCCCCCTCCCTCCCCTCCCCCCTCCCTCCCTCCCCCTCCCTCCCCCACCCTCCCTCCCCCCTCCCTCCCCCTCTCCCCCTCCCTCCCCCCTCCCTCCCCCTCCCTCTCCCTCCCCCCCCCTCCCCCCCCCTCCCCCCCTCCCCCCCTCCCCCCCTCCCACCCCTCCCCCCCCTCCCTCCCACCCCTCCCTCCTCCCTCCCCCTCCCTCCCCCTCCCTCCCCCCTCCCTCCCCCTCCCTCCCCCCTCCCCCCCCCCACTCACCCACTCCCTCCCACCCTTCCTCACCTCCGATTGTAGCTTCGTTCATCCGCCTCCCGCGTGTCACTTGCGACCGATTCTCCACCGCCCGCCGCCCGCGGGATTCTTCCCGAAGCGACAATCGGCTTCGACGGAGGGATCCGCGGTTGGAACCTTGAGGACGGCGCGCCGATGCCCTCGGGGTGGGGTGGAGGGGGGGGTGGTTACGACTTAAATAAATTAATATATTGAACGCGGAATTAAGACTCAAACTGAGTTTGCCTCTGCAAGGAAAATTGCCTGGCTGAAATTAAAATACCGGTTTATATATATACACACAAACTATCCACCCAACGTACACGCACACATGCTCAGTCAGGTATGCCCGTACGAACGGCACGTTATCCACGTATGCGCGTGCACGCACGCACGCGTGCAAAGACAAAGATCCCCCGTGTAGCCTTAACAGACTGTAGGGGCAAGTGCTGTTAGCGAGCACCTACGAAGGCCGGCACGGCACACGAGGGGGTGGGTGGCCAACGCCGCGCCCGGCCGCCTTTGTCTCCCCAGCGGCGATGTTGACGCCGCACCAGGTACTCATTTTAGGCTGAGTCGATCGAGGGGTTGTTCAGGGATCGATTCAGATAATCGTCACTGGGTGTTGGCCGTGGGCAGGAATCGAACTCTGGTCACCGGGTTTGCAGCGCGGCGCGCTAACCACTCCGCCACCGCTCCCCACACACACACGTTGCTACACACACACTACACACACACACGTAGCTACACACACTACAAACACACTACACACACACACACACGTTACTACACACACGTAACCACACACACACACGTTGCTACACACACACACAACTACACACACACGTTACTACACACACTACACACACGTTGCTACACACACGTAGCTACACACACACACAACTACACACACTACAAACACACACTACACACACGCACGTTGCTACACACACACTACACACACACGTTACTACACACACGTAACTACACACACGTAGCTACACACACGTAGCTACACACACTACACACACGTTGCTACACACACGTTGCTACACACACACGTAACTACACACACGTTACTACACACACGTAACTACACACACGTAGCTACACACACGTAGCTACACACACTACACACACGTTGCTACACACACGTTGCTACACACACACGTAACTACACACACGTTACTACACACACGTAGCTACACACACACGTTACTACACACACGTAGCTACACACACACGTAACTACACACACACGTTACTACACACACGTAGCTACACACACACGTTGCTACACACACACGTAACTACACACACGTTACTACACACACACGTAACTACACACACGTAGCTACACACACACGTTACTACACACACGTAGCTACACACACACGTTGCTACACACACTACACACACGTAGCTACACACACGTAGCTACACACACACACACACACGTAACTACACACACGTAGCTACACACACACACGTAACTACACACACTACACACACGTAGCTACACACACGTAGCTACACACACACGTTGCTACACACACTACACACACGTAGCTACACACACGTAGCTACACACACACACGTAACTACACACACGTAGCTACACACACACGTTACTACACACACGTAACTACACACACGTAACTACACACACGTAGCTACACACACACGTTACTACACACACGTAACTACACACACGTAACTACACACACGTAGCTACACACACACGTTGCTACACACACGTAACTACACACACGTAACTACACACACGTAACTACACACACGTAGCTACACACACACGTTGCTACACACACACGTAACTACACACACGTAGCTACACACACACGTAACTACACACACGTAGCTACACACACACGTTGCTACACACACACGTAACTACACACACGTAACTACACACACGTTACTACACACACGTAGCTACACACACACGTAGCTACACACACGTAACCACACACGTATCTACACACACACTACACACACGTAACTACACACACACGTAGCTACACACACACTACACACACGTAACTACACACACACGTAGCTAAACACACACTACACACACACGTAGCTACACACACGTAGCTATACACACACACGTAACCACACACACACACGTAGCTACACACACGTAGCTACACACACACTACACACACACACACACGTAACTACACACACTACACACACACGTAACCACACACACACACGTAGCTACACACACACACTACACACACGTAACTACACATACTACACACACGTAGCTACACACACGTAGCTACACACACACACGTAACTACACACACATGTAACTACACACACACGTAACTACACACACACGTAACCGCACACACACGTAACTACACACACACTACACACACACGTAACTACACACACACACTACACACACGCACGTGGCTACACACATACTACACACACACACACACGTAACTACACACACACTACACACACGCACGTGGCTACACACACTACACACACACACGTAACTACACACACGTAACTGCACACACACTACAAACACACTACACACACACACGTAGCTACACACACTACACACACACACGTAACTACACACACACACTACACACACACACTACACACACACACTACACACACGTAACTACACACACACACTACACACACACGTAACTGCACACACACTACACACACTACACACACACGTAACTACACACACACTACACACACGTAACTACACACACACGTAACTACACACACACGTAACTGCACACACACTACACACACAAGTAACTGCACACACACTACACACACACGTAACTACACACACACACTACACACACACTACACACACACACTACACACACGTAACTACACACACACACTACACACACACGTAACTGCACACACACTACACACACTACACACACACGTAACTACACACACACTACACACACGTAACTACACACACACGTAACTACACACACACGTAACTGCACACACACTACACACACAAGTAACTGCACACACACTACACACACACACGCACGTGGCTACATTGCTCACAAGGCCATGGATGCTGTATTCAAGTTCAAGTGTTTGTGTTTATGGGCGAGCGTGGCTGGATCAGAAATAGCTTCGGTTAACCGCAGGCAACGCGGCAATCTTATTCCGGGACACGTTACAGATGGCACGCGTTCAAAGAACCTTCACGAACCCAGAAGAAGGAATACACACACACACGCAGTGTGTGTAGAGAGAGAGAGAGGAAAGAGTGGAGGGAGGAAAAAATATCCAGAAAATCCACCGCCGCATGTTTACGTTGCAGGAAATTAAAAATCACATTGTAACGTGGATACGGTGCTTTGGGGGCTGGGGTCACGTGGGGGGGGGGGGGGCACGTGGGGGGGGGGGGGCATGTATGCGCTTTGCGTCCGTGTCACTGGGGTTAGAGCGGCGGTGCAGCGGTTAGCACGCTGCGGTGCGAACAGCGGCCGGCGGGCGATGCACCGCGTGAACCGATCGTGGGTCCCTCCCCCCCCCCATTCCCCCCCTCCTCCACCCCCCCCCATCCCCCCCTCCCCCACCCACCCATCCCCCCCCCATATCCCCCACCTCCCCCACCCATCCCCCCCATCCTCCCCCTCCTCCACCCCCCCCATCCCCCCCCTCCCCACCCCCCCCATCCCCCCCCAACGTTGGCCCAACCGCCGCACGTGCCAACGTTGCCCCAACGTTGGCACGTGCGCTGGATGGTCCCCGTCCCCCGCCACCGCCCCCGCCACCGCCCCCGCCGTGCCTTCTCGCGCTGACCGGCGCGGTGAAGTACGGCGGAACGTCCGAGGGGGGCGAAGGAGGGGGGGGGGGATGGGATGGACCTTCGCCGAGCGAGCGGCTTGGCAAAGTGTGGCCCGCGTTTTGGCGACGGAGCGTCGGGGCCAACGGCGTGGCCGTCGCGCCTCGTCCGGCCGTTTGTGGCCGCGCCGGCCATCGACGGCCGGCGCCGGGGGTGCCGGGCGACGCCAACGAATTTTCGCCGCCTGCCTCCGTCCAAGGCGCGCGTTTTTAATGTTCCAAATTGTCGCTTTGGTTATTAATGACAATTATAAAACGACGCGGCGGCAGCACCCCGGCCTTGCTCCCCTCCTTTCTGTCGAAGTGAAAATGCGTTTACGCGAATTACGGAAGCGGAATCTCCTCTTTAAATCCGCTCCGTGGCTGGCTCCATTAGCTAATTTGATTTCCCTTAATGAGAGTTTTCCCTAATGTTGTAGGTCACATGTAGGGCACCCAACCCCGGTCTTGCGTAACAACCAAAACACCCGGCGTTTGTATTCTATATTTGCCGACGTCAGAGCAACTTTTTCTTTTTTTTACAAATTGCTCGGAATAATAAAAAAAACGTGGAGCCGCGGTGTGACAATTAGCATGTCATTTGCACGCGCTTTGCATAAACTGCACGCAACATCAATATCTCCGCGCGATGATTCCGTACGCGGCGATGAAGGGCGACTTTGGAGAGATTCAACGTTGGCGCTTGGATCTAAGCGATTTAGCCATTCGCTTGCCCCGCCTGAGAGTTGGCGAGCGAATGAGTGCGCGTGAACACAAATACCGTACGGAGCCCACAAATCATCGTCGTCGTCGTCGTCGTCATCGGCGTTATCATCGTCGTGGATGAGCACGCTCGTCGGGCACGTGGGCGTCGCGCCCACGTGTCATCGTCATCTTTGTCGTCACCGTCGTCATCGTCATCCTCGTCATCGTCATCTTTGTCGTCACCGTCGTCATCGTCATCCTCGTCGTCACCATCATCGTCGTCGTCGTCATCATCCTCACCGCCGTCACCATCGCTATCGTTGTCACCTTTATAAGGACCGTCTTGTTGTGTCCGCCGTGACAGTTCTCCGGCCGCGCTTTCTCGGCACTCCATTTTTCAGACGCTGAGAGGCAGCGCGCCGGCGCCCAGCCCACCCTCGACGGCGCCGCCGCCGCCGGCCCGGCGCCGCCCGTGCCAAAACACAACTCGCCGTCGTCGGCGGCGAGCCCCGGCGACCGAGACCAGCCGGGCCGCGGCGAGCGGGCGCCGTCGCCCAAGCTGTTCCTGTGCTGCGTGTGCGGCGCCTTCTCCACGGACGACCCGGACGAGCTGGCGGCGCACGCCGGCTCGGAGCGCCGGCTGCCGGACGGCGAGTGGCGCGCGGTGACGGGCGAGGGCGCCCACGCGTGCCGCCTCTGCGGCTACGTCACGCCGCTGCGCGCCAACTTCCAGCTGCACTGCAAGACGGACAAGCACGCCGCGCGGCACCAGCTGGCGGCGCACCTGCGCGAGGGCGGCCGGGCCGACGCCGTGGCCGCGGCCGCCGCCGCCGCCGCCGCCGCGGCCGCGGCGGCGTCGGCCGGATCGGGGACGGCCGGCATCGCGCCGGCGCTGGTGCAGCTGCGGTGCTGCGCCTGCGACTTCGTGGCGAGCGGGCTGGACAGGATGGGGCTGCACGTGGCGGGCCGGGAGCACCAGGCCAGCGTGCTCATCTACAAGGTGAGGGGGCGGCGGCGTGGGGCCCGGTGGGTCGGCGCGCCGTACCGCGAACCCGGCGACCCGGGTGCTCGGTTCCCGATCGTGGCCGAGGACGGCGGCGGCGGAGGCGGTGGATGATGTCCGAGCCGGTCCTGGGGACGAACGACGTCCGCGTTGGCTCGGCCTGAAAGGAAGCGTGCCCCCCGGTGCGGCGAGGGCGCGTGAACGTGACGCGGCGACGCACTCCCTGCCCACTTCGGGCCGCTTCCCCTAGCCGGGGGAATCATCAATACGGCGACAAATGCAGAACCGCGTGGCGAGCAGCCGAACGATGGTGGGGCGGCGGCGGCGGCGACGGCGTTTCCCGAAACGACGGCCGACGCCAACCCCCCCCCCCCCTTATTTATTTTATTTTGGCGAAAGCCGCCTCGCCGGTGTCGCCGTTAGTTCCCCCAGTCAGGCTGCGACGCCCATCGCACCGCGGCGGCGGCGGCAGCGGCGGCAGCGGCACGGCGGTACGAAGTCGGCGCTGCCCAACATTTGCCGCCGCCCTGCGGTCCCGCGCCTCCGGACCCGACCGACACCGCAGCTGGGCTCGCGGAGCACGGCGAAGTATGGTCAGGCGAAAAAACACCCGTGCCACGGCACGCGGGAAGGCCCTACCCTCAATCCTGCAGTTGATATATTACAAATGAACGAAACCAATTATAGTATTTATATTTTTGTTACTTTTGAAGTGAAACAAACAAACCCCCCCCCCCCAATTACCGGCTCAGATTTCTGCGCTCGCCTCCTTACTCCGACTTCGTCCCCATCCCCCCCCCCCCCCCCCTTCACCCCGGGATTTGAAATCGCGGCACAAGCGAGGGGCGCCGGGGGAGTTTTCCGTTTGTGCGTCTGACTCATTGTGCCGGTGGCTCCGTCGTGTCGGCCAGAAATAGCGCCGGCATCCTTCACGTCGAGCGAACCCGCGGTTTTGCCCGGGCAGCGGCGAGGGATTTCGGCAGCGGACGATCGAGTGGGCGGCACGGAGGCCCCACCCCGTCGCGTGGCTGACGCCTCCACGGTGCCGCCGTATTAAGGGCACGTAAATTATTGCCGTCCTTATCGTCGTTCTTGTTGCCGTTTTTAAGAGTGGCACGCCGCCCTCGCCACTGTCATTGCGAACGTCGTTTGGCATTGGCCCGTCATGAATTGGTATCCTCTCAGTCGGACGCCCTGCCAGTCACTCCGCCGGTCACTCTGTCGGTCAACCCGCCAGTCAACCCACCAGTCAACCCACCAGTCAACCCACCAGTCAACCCACCAGTCAACCCACCAGTCAACCCACCAGTCAACCCACCAGTCAACCCACCAGTCAACCCACCAGTCAACCCACCAGTCAACCCGCAAGTCAACCCACCAGTCAACCCACCAGTCAACCCACCAGTCAACCCACCAGTCAACCCACCAGTCAACCCACCAGTCAACCCACCAGTCAACCCACCAGTCAACCCACCAGTCAACCCACCAGTCAACCCACCAGTCAACCCACCAGTCAACCCACCAGTCAACCCACCAGTCAACCCACCAGTCAACCCACCAGTCAACCCACCAGTCAACCCACCAGTCAACCCACCAGTCAACCCACCAGTCAACCCACCAGTCAACCCACCAGTCAACCCACCAGTCAACCCACCAGTCAACCCACCAGTCAACCCACCAGTCAACCCACCAGTCAACCCACCAGTCAACCCACCAGTCAACCCACCAGTCAACCCACCAGTCAACCCACCAGCCACCCTACCACTCGCCCCCCACGAGAATTATCATCCCAGACCCCCGCCGTCCGCCGCCGCTGCCGCCGGTTGGTCGTCCGTCGTCACTCTCGTGACCGACGGAGGCCGTCGGGTTTCTGTTGCCCCTGGCGCTTTATCCGCAGATCCGCGACACCGTCCGCGGGGTGAACGTTGCAGTAGGGAGGGGGGGTAGCAGGCACGGGGGAAACTAAAGATTTTTTTTGATATACTGTAAACGTGCGTCTTATATTTATTTCCAGTTTTTTTTTTCATATTCTCAAGACAGATGTTAGCAATGCCGTCGTGTTCGCAATACGGTGGACGGCCGCATGATGATTGATTTAGACATTTCAAATTACGGGTCACTGATCCCTTACCTTGAGTAATATGCCACGGCATTATAGATTTCTTTGCCCTCCTTCCCCCCCCCCTCCCCCGTATATTCCGGCTGGGGAAGGTCAGGAGGTTGAAATGGCTTTAGATGTCGGGGGAAATGCAGAGGTTGTGTCATTAGCCATCATTCTACGTCCACAAACCGCGCCGGTGCTTTTTTTTAATAAATCAAAATACAATTTTCTCCGTAATCACCGTCAGCTACTAATGACCGCTGTCTGTTAATTCTTTATTTTTTATTTTTCTTATTTTTTAATTCATCACGAAGAGCCCTGTTGGGCCGTGAGTAAGTGGACGTTGGTCGCAGAGATTTTTTTTTTGAGCTGCGATCGGCCAGGGTGCAGCGCTCATCCTGTCCACCGTGGCTCGCTCGTCCACAACCTCCACCACCTCCACCTCCACCTCCACCATCACCTCCACCATCATCATCATCACCACCACCACTTTCACCACCACCTCTACAATCACCACCATCACCACCTCCACCACCTCCACCATCACCACCACCACCATCACCTCCACCACCATCACCTCCACCATCACCTCCACCATCATCACCACCATCACCACCACTTTCACCACCTCCACCACCTCTACAATCACCACCATCACCACCTCCACCACCATCACCACCATCACCTCCACCATCATCACCACCATCACCACCATCACCACCACTTTCACCACCACGTCCACCACCTCTACAATCACCACCATCACCACCTCCACCATCACCACCATCACCACCCTCACCTCCACCATCATCACCATCACCACCATCACCACCACTTTCACCACCTCCACCACCTCTACAATCACCACCATCACCACCTCCACCACCTCCACCATCACCACCATCACCACCACCACCACCATCACCACCACTTTCACCACCTCCACCACCTCTACAATCACCACCATCACCACCTCCACCATCACCACCACCGTTAACTTCACAACCATCACCTCCATCACCATCGCCTTCACAACCACCACTAACATCACAACCACCACCACCACCTCCACAACCTTCACCATCACCACCACCACTTCCACCACTTCCACCTCTACCACCTCCACCACTTCCACCACCACCATCACCTCCACCACCTCCACCAAAAAACAAGGACAAAGATCCCCCGTATAGCCTGAACAGACTGTAGGGGCAAGTGCTGTTAGCGAGCATCTATGAAGGCCAGAATGGCACACGAGGGAGTGGGTGACCAGCACCACGCCCGGCCGCCTTTGTCTCCCCAGTGGCGATGTTTACACACCGCACCAGGTACTAATTTGAGGCCGAGTCGACCTAGGGGAGGCCCAGGACCGGTTCAGATAATCGTCACTGGCGTTGGCTGTGAGCGGGAATCGAACTCGGGGGACCAGGTTCGTAGCGCAGCGTAGCGCTAACCACTTCCCCACCACTCCCCATGGTAGCGCAACACACACGTTCACACACACACGCTCACACACACTCGCTCACACGCTTGCCCACACATGCTCACACACACGCACACACTCGCACTATAGCACACAGACACGCTCACACACACACAAACACACGCTCGCCCACACATGCTCACACACACGCTCACACACACGCTCACACACACACACACGCTCACACACACACGCTCACACGCACTTGCACACACATGCTCGCACACACGCACACACTCGCACTATAGCACACAGACACGCACGCATGCATGCGCAGTGACCTCTGGACCGCTGTCCCATATCCAGGCCACGGTGCCTTCTTAGCACGATCGCGGGAGTCATAATCCCGTGTGCGGAGTAAACCTCTGGATTTAAGCGTTGGCATTGGTGGGGGGGGGGGGGCAGAAGGGTGGGGGGGGGGCTGGAGAGTGGGGGGGGGGGCGTCGTGGATGTCGTCGTCGTCAGTGCGACGGGGCGCTTCCTTGATTTTTGGCGCGGGTCGCTTGTTAGGAACCCCCTAACGTCGCGCGGTCAACAGCAGTCAGTGGCTGGGGGGGGGGAGCGGGGGGCGCTGCCGACCGTATTAATCCCGGCTCGGCGGCCGTGTGTTAGGATCGCACGCCGTAAATCTGTAAGCTCTCCCGTGCTCGCGCTCGCGCGTACACGTACGCACGTACACGCACGCACGCACGCACGCAGGAACGCGCACGAGGCGAGCCCGCGGCTCCGCCTCTTTATATGGCCGTGCATTATTCAGATTGAAAGATGCAAAGTCGACGGCGGCCTCTCTTTTTCCCCCCCGTCTCACCTTCACGCGACGGAACGTTTCACTGCCAACAGCCACAGTCCCCTTCCCCCCCGCCACTGCAACGTTTACCCCCGGATGGCGTCGTGCGGTTCGTCGAGTTGGACGCGCGGTTGCCCTTCGCAGCCGGAACGAAAGTCTCGCGGTTATTTTTGTATTTTTTTAGCCACCGTGCGTCGATCTAACCAAATTGGCGTCGTTCGTAGTAACCCTCCACCACCCGACATTACCGCGCCTGCACCATCCGACCGACCCGTGGTCTAGAAGCTCTCGCGGCCACGTCGGGAGGGAGAGGGGGGGGAGGCGGCTGAGGTCAGGATGTTGACCCCGCGGAGACGGAACGACGAGATCCGCTCGTGCCCCCCGGGGGAGTTTGGGTGGCGACGTTGGAACCGGAGGGATGGTGGCGGCGTGGGGGGAGGATGCCTCCGTCCAGCGGCGGATTGATCGTAGCCGACGATGATGATGATGATGACGACGGCGGCGATGTTGATCATAATAATAATAATCGTGCTCGCTTGTAACGCCCGCAATTTGCCCTTGCCCCCCGAGGCAAAGAGTCATTCGCTGCGAATGTGGAAGGGGGTGGTGGAGGGGATGGTGGTGGG